GGAATTGGCTAGGCAGTTAGGGTAAAAAGACCCCAAAGAAATGTAGCCAGTTTCTTGGCTAAAAGTCAAAATGTCCTTGGACTGTTAGCAACATAATCTGTTCCAAAGGCCAAAAATGTCAAAAGTATTTGGGAGCTTATATCTAATCCTTAAAAGATTTTAGGGTTATCTCTTCAGTGGAGGAATGTTAGAGTAGCCAAAAGATCCATAAAAATAAATAAATGAAAGAAGAATAAAAAAGAAAAGAAAAAGAAAAAAGTGATGGGGAGATATGGGAGGGAGTGGGCATGGATGTGACAAAAACACAATAAAGTTTTTGTAAAAGTTAAAAAAAAAATGAAAGAAATAAGTGTACATATAAGAAAGCACACATAGCCAGGTGTGGCAGTACATGCCTTTAGTTCCGGCACACATGGGCAGGGACAGGGGCAGAGAGGCAGAGAGAGGCAGAGGGGCAGAGGAGGAGGCAGACGGATCTCTGTGTGGCCAGCCTGGTCTACACGGCAAGCTCCAAAGTTCCAGGCCAGTTAGGGCTACAGGGAGACCCTGTCTCAAAAGAAAAAAAGAAAGAAAGAAAAAGAAAAAGAAAGAAAATTTTATCCAATTTCCTAACAAACCAATGGCATGAAAACATGGTTAGAAGTTAGATAAGCAAGACCAGGACAAAAACTAGTGACCTAATACTAAATTCCACCTGTAGATATTTTCTTGAATTCTGCTATGAATAAGCCATTTATAAAAAGATACTTATGGGGGGTTGGAGAGATGGCTCAGAGGTTAAGAGCACTGACTGCTCTTGCAGAGGACCCAGGTTTGAGTCCCAGCACCTACGTGGTGGCTAATAACTGTCCATAACTTCACTATCAGGGGAAGTTGACGCTCTCTTCTGACCTCCACAGGTATTGCATGACATGGGTGCGCTTACATATACAAGCAAGCAATACACTCCATACACATCAAAATAAAAATGATAAATTTTTTTTTTAAAAACTTATGAAACCATCAAGGAAATCTGACACCCACTGGACAGTAGATAATAGTAAGAAATTACGGTTAATATGGTTAAGTGTGATAATAAAAATGGATTTAAGAAAGGTCAACATGTGGTGCTGGAGAGATGGCTCAGTGGTTAAGAACACTGACTGTTCTTGCAGAAGACCTGGGTTCAAATCCCAGAATCCACATGTGGCTAACAACTGTCCGTTAACTCCAGTTTCAGGGGATCTGATAGCCTCTTCTCTCCTCCTCGGGCACTGCACAACACAGGTGCACTTACCTATATGCAGGCAATACATGCATACCCATAAAATAAAAATAATAAATAAAATATAAAAAAAAGAAAGGTCAACATGTATACTATTCTATTCACCTCAGTGCATGTTTAAGACTCTCATAATCAAGAAGTACTTTTTCAGAGACTACAAAAAGAGAAATTGCATTCCACACCACTGAACACCCTTTAAAAAAAAAAAAAAAAGAGCATTGGGCAGGGGTTTATTTACAGAAGAGTTAGGCAGCCCACATTTACAGCTGCGCCATAAAGTCCACACTCAAATACAAATCTTGTGACCTTCCGACAGCTGCACAAAATTTTGAGAGAGGTGCCTCTTGGCTGAACACCCTTTAAAAGAATGTTGTTGCTAAAAAACTTGAAATTGGAGAGTGGTTTAAAAAAAGTAAAGAAAAAAAAAAGCAGAATTGTTTTAAATGGGAGAATACTGATAGGATTGACCAAATAAATAGAAAAAAAAATTTTTTAAGGGGTGATGTTTTTTAAAGGGGAGAATTACAAAAGTGCTATATTTAAGTAACTTGGATCTATTGAGTAAGTAGAAGGATTAACCACCACACGATTAGTTGCTCATTTATAGAAACTAGTGAACAGGTAAAACATATAGACAGGTAGAGAGACGGTGGTAGAAGTCTGTGGCTGCTTTCTTCTGGTTGCTTAATTTTCTAAGCGAAAGAAGAAGCAAAGTCATTCTAAGAATGACTTGCTTAAGGCAAGACTAGAAGAATGAAATATTTCATCTAAATAGTCAATGAATGGACTAGAAAAAAGTGATGTTTGCTTGCTAGTATTACAGTCTTCATGAATTTGTGGTCATAAACAGACTTAGGCTGGTCAATAACACTATGTCTTCTCCAGCTACAATCAGCTACAAAAGTGCAGTAAGCAGAGATTGAAGATAAACAGCACTGAGCTTGTGCCAAGGCCTATAATTACATAAGAGGACGTTAAAGAAGCCATAGGGTATGTGCAAGAGTTAATTACAATGCTCAAAATATAATTTATTTGCTAAGAAGACATCAAGGAGCTCAAGAAATAGAAATAAGTAAGTAGGTTCATGATATCTAGGTCCTCACAGGACAGAAGGACAGTTGGAATCAGGGTACCGGAATAAGGGGACAAGAAAAAAGATGGTGATCAGAGTAGGAAGCATAAAACTGAGACTACACACAGATTATAGTTATAATGACCAAATCTAGGGTCTGGCTATGGGATGTTAGTATCTGAGGTGTGATTCAAGATGCAGAATAACATTATAAAAGGAGAAGAGTACAACACATCAAGAACACACTGGCAGGACTACTCACATATACAATGAAATTATCCAGACATTATTCTAAAAAATTTCCATCTAGCATGTTACTGTTTTTTAAAGTAAATTTATGTTTCAGAGTTTTAGTAGCACAAACATTACAAACATGTCATTACAGGGCAGTAAAATTGCTTTTTTCACTGGCATACAATGTTCAATAATTAGTACACTTTCTGGGCTAAAGTAAAGAATGTATAAATCCTAAACTCTTCCCCTTTGTTTGGTGTTTGAACTAATGCTTCACCATGAAGCCCAAGCCAGCCTCATTCTCACAATCTTCATGCGTCTACCTCCAGAGTGCTGAGATTACAGGCATGTACCACCATGCCCAGACATCCTGTCCCTTCTATTTATTTTCTAGTTTTCCACAGCATTTGAATTTTTTAAAAGGCCTCTAATTTTAAGACACATGAAGGTATATTTTGATTTATATTCCTAACATAAACAATAAGTGTAAATAAAAATTATCATCTCATGATAGTTTTGTTCTAAATTTTTTTGTTGTTATTTTTGAGACAGTCTTCTGGTAGCCCCAGCTGGCCAGGAACTTACTATGTAGACCAGGCTAGCCTCAAACACAGAGCTCCACCTGCCTCTGCTGGGTTTAAAGACATATGCCACCACACCTGGCCTAAATTTTTTAAAAATTTTATGTGTATGAGTGTATTGCCTGCATACATGTAAGTGTATCCATATTGTACAATGCTGTGGAGGTCAGAAAAGGATGTCAGATTCCTCTGAAACTGGAGTTACAGACAGTTGTTAGCCACCATGTGGGTGCTGGGAATCTAACCTGGGCCCTCTACAAAAGCAGTCAGTGTTCTTAACCACTGAGCCATCTCTCCAGCCCCAATGATAGCTACTTTCATAAGAGAACATTTATTTACATCTCTGATATAGTACCTGGTTTACAACAATGATTCAGTAGTTATTTTCTTCTATTAAAAGGGACAGATAATATTACAAATCCACGCAACTAATATTTACTTCAGTGCCTATTTGTAGAAGAGACTCTTGTATTTTCATAAAATAAATCATCTTGAGTCTTGGAAATTCTCCAGTATTGACTATTCCTCATTACATAGTCCCACAGTTGACTAAAAAAAATCAACATTTCTATAACATCCCAAAACTCTTGACTCACATTTCAAGAATGAAGTGGTAACAAGGTTATAAAACCAGTCATGGAAGCCAGTTTATTGGCTCTTATTTTTCCAGTACTTTTTCATGGCTTCCTCAGTAATGCATCTGTAATATACCATACCTTGAATAAGCTACTTACTGTGGTATGATGAGATATATTACCAACTATGTTGAGGTTTTTGAGCAGCTGGGGAGAACCACTATATTGTCCAGAGATCTGCTTCCTAACTTCAGCTGCTACAGTTCTATAACAAAAAAAAAAAAAAAAGGAACACATTATGAACATACACACACAAAACACATATACAATTTAGGACAATAAAAGTCATTTACCGGCATGGTGGCGCACGCTTTTAATCCCAGCACTCAGGAGGCAGAGGCAGGCAGACCTGTGAGTTCAAGGCCAGCCTCATCTATATAGTGAGTTCCAGGCCAGCTGGGGCTATAGGGAGACCCTGTCTCAGAAAGACCGAAAGAAAAAAAATAAAAAGTCAACTCACAATGGAAAGAAGAATATTAAAGATTCAATTCTAGAATAACAAAGTTTTAATGTATTAATAAAGTGCTTCAGGGAATATTCTTCTAGTTTATATTATAACATCTTTTTTTGTAAGGCTGGTTTTTAAAATGGCATTTTGGGAATATAGTTTGGTCATGATAGAGTAAAAGCTCTAAAATACACATTTATATATAAATACATATACTTAAAAAATATAAAATCAATTCTTAAATATTTTATAAACAAAATATGGCAAGAATTCTTTTTAAAAAGAATTCTTTCTTTTTTTAAATTACTAGTATCTCATTTATGCCCCAGAAAACTATTTTCTATTTCTACATAATAAACAATGTCCGCATACCCCAGGCAATAACAGCTTTCCATAATCTGACTTTAATTTACCTCTCCAGCTTTTAATGTCATCTACCAAATTCTTGTCAATAAACACAAACAGTTTCCTGAGAATCTACTTACCTCTCTTGCTAACCAATTCAATTCTTAAATAGTTTTAAGGCCAAGATCTTCATGCAAACTTCTTGGCTCAACACAGCTAAACATATCACACTGCTTTAAAACTTTTAGAAAGCTTACCAAACCTAATTTTTCTTCCTTCCTTGTTATTTTTTCTGTTTCATGAACACTATATAAAAAAGGCAGTAGCAGTCATCTTCTGTCCCTAAAATAATTTAGTATATGGGGTTGTGGAGATGATTCAGTTGGTAAAGTGCCTGCCTCACAAGAATGAGGATCTGAGTTTAGGACCCCTGCTCCCATGTGAAAAGTCAAGAAAGTCAGACATGGTGAAACACCAACAACCCCAGTGCTTGGGGACAGAACAGAAATGGGTGGATCTCTGAAGCTCACTGGCAGCTAGTTTAGCAGAATGGATGAGTTCCAAATCAAGGAAGAAATCCAAAGGTGGTCTCTGGCCTCCACACACACATGCACACAGGTGCATGTTCACACCCATGTGCACACACACACATGAACACATATATAAACACACACATACAAATATTTAGCAGATAGCATTCGAAACCATATAAAAGCTCTGTAAAATATACAGCATTAATGAATTTACTGACAAATGTAGTAAACTACAAAGGCATTGCCACAGCAGGTAAATCTTAATTTGAAAAAAATCAAGATTAGAGTGCAGAAGTCCCAATAGTTGACCTTTTTGTTGGCCCTTTACATACTAGTATTTTGGAAACAGAAGTTGGGGGAGGTCTAGGATTTGTAAGGAGGGGAATGGGGGTTAGGGTGGTCTAGGATTTATATGTGGGCCCAGAAAATTCTAGAAAGGGGGTTGTGGGGCTGGAGAGATGGCTCAGCGGTTAAGAACACTGGTTGTTCTTGCAGAAGATCCGAGTTTGAATCCCAGCACCCACGTGGCAGCTAACAACTGTCCATAACTCCAGTCCCAGGGGATACGACAGCCTCTTCAGACCTTGGCGGGCATTGCACGACAGTAGGCATACACATAAAAAAATTTTTTTTTTAATTTTAAAAAAAGTTTAGAAAGGGGATTGTGCCTTCCCTGAATCCCAGAAGTTGGTGTCAGGCTCCTTCCCAGGATCTGGGAAGGTGAGATGGGGAATTCTGATAGGGGGTTTGATAAGGAACAAGATTTATGGGGAGGCTGATAAAGGAACCAAATGTCTTGCTAGGAACCATGTGTCCTGAAACAGATGTATTTCCCTCCTGGAATGGGGAGTCAGGGTGGGTGGATGGTCAGTTCATTTAGTCATTTGTCAGCCTGATTTTCCTTCCAGGAGCAAGGTAGCTCCTTCTGTAGGCAGTCAGGGTTACAGGCCCAAGGAAAACAAAATGTTTTATGTGTTCTAATGGAACCAGTAGTCAGCTCCGAGAGTTCTGTGATTTTACAAAAACAAAACAAAAACCCACTTAACATTTCAGCTAAAGAAATAAACCCTAAAAGCCCTGACTCATCAAAATGTCAGCTAAGTACCACACCATTATTTGTTTCTTCTCTTTCTGGTCTTCCTCCCCATTGCAATTTTTTAGCAAGTACAAACACACACACACACACACACACACACACACACACACACACACACGCACCCTTGTAGGCTTTCCTGTCTCTCTGTACTCTTCCATTCAATCCCTTGACCAATTTAAATTCCCCCATATACATCCAAATTAACCAACCAGGTTCATCCAAATTCAATTTATATATGGACAGGACCAAATTGCAGCTTCCTTCCAAAGATTATGCGGCAATACGGAACAAGGCCTACAAGCTATGTATCCTGAAGCCTTCTTGCCTATCTGGGTACTGGGTGTGACCTCAAGAGATGGCTGCTGTACACTTTTTGCAACTGGTTTGATATCACATTTCAGCTCCAACTTTGCATCCTGAGAGCACTTAAATGTTTCTGCAGGTCCATTTTATACAACTTGAAAGACCTAAAAACTTTCTGGTTGCCACAAGCATATCTTTCTTTTTTGCTCATCCAGTAAACAGCTGTGCCCTACTGTGATAGGTTTTCCAAACAAAAATACCTGGAGCAACAGTTTAACAAAATATGCCTTCAGTGGCACTCAGCAAATGGAGTTTCCCCAAGCACAGTTCTGTAAGGAGTGTGTGTGAGACTCTGTGTGTGTGTGTATGTGTGTGTGTGTTTTAAGTTATTATTTGTACTGTGCAAAAATTTTTTGATCTTGGGGATTCTGGCTGTGAATTCGATGCGTGACAATTATGGCTAAAAACATTTGCTTGGTCTACAGAAGATCATTAATGTTTTGTGACCATATAAGTTGTAACAGTGGGTTGTTTTATGTGTAGGTATTGTTGTTAAATACAGGGACTGTTTCCAGGCACAGACTATGAATCATAAGTTAGGATGGACATTAGATGTGATTATGATATAGTGAAGGTCTGCTGTCCTAAATCTGCAAATAATGTGGTAACAAATTAGAACAAACTGGAGACAGGCCATAGACACATGGACTCTGCCTAGCTGTGCTGGAAAAATACTTTGACTCCAAGCCTTAAAATACCCTGTGGAGTCTGAGCTCACCTCATTCATACAATCAAAGAGCTCCCTGGACACTGAATTTCTATAGGGAAAGGTCTCCCCTGGAGCAGGAACTCCAGGGTGTGCTCCAGAGCATAGCACAGGGGAGCACAGGGCCAGGCCGGGCCTCTCAGCACTGCTACTCGGGCGGAGCCACTTCACCTTGCATCAGTTTTAAACATAGAATCTGGATCCTTTGGTCAGGTTTCCCCAGACTCTTCTAAGGTGTCCATGTTCAACTGTTAGAGCTTGGTTTTGGCAACCCTTTGCCCGAAGTTGCTTATTGGCTGTTCTTTGCCTTGGTTCCAAGGCTGTGGAACAGAAAGTAGCCTCTGTTTTGAGGAGGTGGGCGTTAAAGTATACGTTTATTTTTACTATGACATGCTCAGGACCACACTTTTCAAAATGCCTTGTTTCCTTTACTATTGTTTTGGAAAGAAAATTCTATTAAAATTGTTTTAGTTTGAAAAAAAAAAGTGCTACTGCAAGGCTTAGTGGTGCATGCCTTTAGCCTTTAATCAGAGCACTTGGGAGGCAGAGGCAGGCAGATCTCTGTGAGTTCAAGGCTAGCCTGGTCTACATAGTGAGTTCTAGGCCAGCTGGGGCTACAGGGAGACCTTGTCTCAAAAAGACAAAAAAAAAGTGCTATTTAGCAACTCATTTTTGAGACCCCTTCCAGCTGCAGGGAGCTGTTATTCTACTATTCAATAAATTTTGCTCACATGCTTCCACTGTCCTCTCTGTTCATTCTTCATAATGTGAAACAGAATTCAGCTCTGATACAAGAAAGCAGCAACGATATTAATTGATCATTTCAGATCTTAAAGTGAGAGACAAATGAGGCATACACAAGACAGTCCTCCTTAACTGGGGCCAATTACTGGCCCAACTCCATTTGTCCCTCTCTGACTTCATTTTGCCTCCAATTTTTTTTTTTTTTCCTTCTGAATTCTCCTGAGTCACTTTCTCTTACAATTACTGTGGACACCAGGAAAGCAGGTTTGATCAATAAGTATCTTTATAACAAGAGATCCAAACTATTCCCTAGCCCCAGATCACAGATGGGTGACCTCATTATGGCCCTGCCCCCATAACAGAACTAATTATTCCAATGACAGAATCAAGGCTGCTCCTCTTAAGGAGCAATCTTCTCTCAATGGGAACTGATAAGGATGTGTTTGCAGAAACAATCCTCCTCCCCCCAATTCTACCCAGCCCTTTCACATCTTGGTGTTTTGGATTTTTGAGACAGGGTTTCACTATGCATCCCAAACTAGTCTTCAATCTCAGTAATAATCTGCCTCAGCCTCCTAAATGCTGGGATTGCAGACATGCACCACCACCATCACTACCACCCCAGCTGAGAAACACTCTTGAGATAATAATCAACCATACTACCACCTATCCAAGATTATCTGTTCAGCCTGCCATGCCAGGTATGCAAATCACAACCCTTGTTTTTGTTATACCTTCCTATAAAACGTCAAAGTTCTTCTCAACCCCTCAAAGCCAGATCTTAGGTCACTAGACCTTCTCTATTCTTTCCAGTATAGCCATACCAATTAAAATGTCTTTTCTGCCCTTTACCACTAATCATCTCTTTAGCATTTCAGGATAGGCAGCCAAGTCTCATCTGTTGGGAGTCCCGGTGCACAGTATTTGCCCTAAAACTCCAATAACAATATTACAAATGTCTTACTTTATA